CAGATGCGCCCAGATCCAGCCCCAAAGTGGGTGGCCCCCAGGGCACTGAGAGCACGGCCGCAGCCCAGTTGTCTGCAGACCACATGAGCGTCCTGCAGGTCCCAGGCATCATCACACACGGTGCCCCACTCACCCTCGTGGAACACCTCCACACGCCCTGCACATCGGCCTGGGCCCTCAGCCAGTCTGACCAGGACACTTCCTGCAGAGAGACTCAGTCAGGGCCCCACAGGACACACGGGGGATGGGGACGGGGAGGAAGGGTAGGAGGATGGGGTTCCACACTCACCAGAACATACAACACCTGCATCCCATGAGCTTCCGGCAGGCACCAGCAGGGTTGTGGACACGTTGCACTGGGTCAGCTGGGTCTCAGTGCCCAGGCAGCGTGCACGGCTCAGTCCCACCGGGAATGCCCTGTGGCCAGGGGCAGGTGCATCGTAGGCTCGCTCAGCTAGTCCGCAACCGAGCTGCCGGCACACGACTTGTGCCCCGCGCAGGTCCCAAGCATCATCCAACACACGGCCCCACACGTCACCCAGGAAGATCTCCACACGGCCATCACAGTGACTCTGTCCGTCCCTCAGCCTCAGGGCATGGGGGCGTCCTGGGAAAGAAATTGTCCTGCTGTCTCTCCTTCCCTTCGAGCTGCCTTTCTTCTTCCCCTCAAGTCTTCTTGTCCCTTTCTCCTCTTCTATCCAAAATCTCTTCTTTCCCCCACCAATTCTCCCACCTGCCACTTCTTCCCAGCCTGCCTTACCAACCCAGCTTTTAACATATGTGTGACGTATCTATTATCCACCCTGAATAACCTCCTGTCTTGCCGACTGCCTAGCCCTGTGTCCACCCGACTGCCCATCTCACACTCTGCATGCAATGCACCCACCTGAGCAGATGGCAGAGGCCATGTTTCCTTGGGCACAGGCCGGGGCCCCCAGGGTGCTTGCTGGGCAGCTCAACAAATGGGGCTCTGTCCCCACGCAGTGAAACACATCTGGCCAGATGGGACCTTCTCCTTCCCCAAAATGCCCTCCTTGGGGTATGGCCACCACATTGCCACAGTTGAGTTGGTGACAGAGGACTGTGGCGTCTGCCAAGTCCCAGTGGGTGGCACAGACGGGTGCCCAGGTTCCCTGCACATGGACCTCCACATGTCCCTCACAGCTGTTGCTGCCGTTGACCAGCCGGAACTCTGGAGGAGAGGAGGAGTCACTGTGGTTCCCAGGCCCTGTAGACACTGCTGCACTTGTCCTTAATGTGAGCCTCGTTAAACACAGACCTCATCTCAGACTTGGGAGGGGCAGACTGAGGG